TAAAGAAAAATGATAGCAAACTATTTTCTGCTCTGACTGAAGTGATATACACAATTTTCTTCATACGACTTTATTGGATACTCCACAGATGGATCTACACAATGCATGGTAAGCAAAAAACTGCAAACAAAGCAGATGTGGTGGAAAGGACATAGTTTTAACACTAGGCTTAGCAATTTTCACCAGTAAAGAAAAAATATTAACAACTAAAATGTTCAAAACCAAAGTACATAAATTAAAAATCTGTACAACTTGGTTATAAAAGTTTATATAAAAAGTATCCGCTTCATGGGAAACATGTCGTGAATAAGACCTTTGTCAAAGCCTCAAAAGAGATTCAACAAGAGTCTTTGTTCTTATTCTTTTGTTCGATGGCGGTACGTTACAAAATACATCTTAGTGAACTTCATTAATAACAAAGTTACTCTCAAAACTACTATCTTTGGTCATCATACATTCTATCGTTCTATGTCTGTGGCTTTCACAAACCACAAAATAATCACCTTTAAAAACAATATCAAATCGTCAAAAGGGACAAGTTGCACACAAGCAAAGCCCTTGTCTTCTAACACAGAAACCTAGGTTCATTTCTGGGTTCTGGTAGCAATACCTATGGCTTGGTTGTACATTCCAATAAACACCACTGGCATTGTGGGCGGGTGGGAAGAGTGTCAGTGATCATTTCACTCTTTGCTAATTCTTACCAACTGGTAGGCAGGGTTGCCTTTAAAGGAGTTCGGAGGTGGACAATGCCCTCGTGGCATCCACGTGAATAGGCATTGCACTTTAAAGTTTGCTTATTCTTTGACACTGACATGTAAGAGGTACAAACATGACACACACTTGGAATTCAAATGTAACTGTCCTATCTAAGAAACCCATATAAAAACATTCAGTCACAGTTTTGCAGAATTTCTCCTTTCACTTTACGCTGCTCTTTGAATTTTCTGGCAAGCAAGCACAGCTCACAGAATATTTTAGCTCAACTGTCCTTCAAACATCAACACACTTATGTGTCTGACAAGCGGACCACCATTTCTTCAGTCTGTGGAGGGTCATTATCACCTAGCAATTCTGTTTCAGGCACTGACAGGTCCTCATTTTGGTCTATCTCCTCCTGGGATGCCCTGTCAGCCAAGTCCTCGTCAGTGGTCTTGGAGTTCTCATTTAATAAGGCTGCTCGCTCTGTCACAGAAGTGTTGGAGGGGGCAGTGGTGACATAGCCTGTAGATGTGGATCCACTGCCACTATGGTGGGAACCAGCTTTGGGAACGATTTGGGGTGGATGGTGCATCTGCTGGTGGGGCATTGCCATGGGTATTTGCATGGGGTAAAAGTTCTGCAGGTATGGGTAAGCTGACATTGGGTGATATCCATTGACAGGAATGTAGAGCTGTGGGGGCACCATTGGCCGATGCATTTGACCCTTCATGGGCATGAACTGGGGCTGATGGAATGGTGAGCTCTTTTTGGGGCTGGTGTAGCGTGATGCATTTGCTGTGCTCATGCTGATGTTGCTAACAGGGCTGGTGCTGAGAGAGCTGGTCTGAGTAGTGTTGCTGGTGCCAGAAGTCTGAGCAGAGCTATTATAGTTAGACAGACTCTCCCAAGAGCGCAGGCGTGTGTGGATGTCCTTGAAGCGAGGTCTTCTTGCCGGAATTTCACTCCAACACTCCAGCATGAGAGTGTAAATCCAGGCTGGGCAGTCATCTGGACATGGCAGTAGCCGGTGGTTGCGAACCATCTCGATCACATCCTGGTTGGAGTAGCCACAGTACGGCTGCAGACCATAACTGAATGTCTCCCACATCAATACACCGTAAGACCAGATGTCAGAGTCGGTGGAGAACTTGCCATACATAATTGCTTCTGGGGACATCCAACGAATAGGGAAAAGACTTGTGCCCATGAGATTGTAGTAATCGGCAGAGTAGACATCTCTGAACAGGCCCAGATCCAGTATCTTGATGCTGAGTTTGTCGAAGACTAGGATGTTTCGGGCAGAAAGGTCTTTATGGATCAATTGTTGGCTGGAAAGGTACTCCATTCCAGCAGCAATCTGGGTGATAACATGAAGAAAATCAGCTTGCTCCAAAGTGGATTTGACGGTCTTATCATCATCTGAGCTGCCAACATCTGAGTTTGGGGAGCGCATCACCAGATACTCATGCAGGTCACCGAGGCTGGAGTAGTTGAATATCATGCTCATTGGCTGCTCTTTGGTGACCACACCCAGCAAACTAACTATGCTTTGGTGCTGTATGTGAAAGCGGAGCATGGCTTCATGGCGAAATTCCTCACAGAGAGTGACATCAACCTTGTCTTTCAATGTCTTGATGGCCACCACTTGGATCTGCTCACCAGGAGCGGTGCCATACAGTTGGCCTTTGTAAACCTTGCCAAACCGATCCTCGCCAAGCTCCTCCATAAACCGTACTGCTGACATATTAATCTCCCTCAGCTTGGCCTGCAGCAACAAATAAATAAACACAAATACATGTCAGCAAAGTGTATTACGAACAATAAAACCTAAAGCAGTACTTAAGCACTGAAATACAACTGTATGGGTGTAATGGATGTTCAGACAGAATCCCGTAGTGCATTAAAAACGTAAACAATTGCATTGGTGTTATGTGTTGCTTGAGGTACCAATTAAATAAAGACCTAAAATGTATGGATCTGAGTTTGAGAATCAGGCTCTGTTCAGACATAACATTTTCATCTGTCTGTGGCGATCCAATAACAAGTGGGCTGCGCTAAGTACACGTGTGAATGTATTTGAAGTGCATCGCAGACGCATCTGAGATTCTATCACTCAGAACACATTCAGAGGTGGTCTGGGATGCATGTGGTCATAATTGTCCTGAGCCACATTGAACAAACGCCTACTCAGCTGACGTCATCTGACCTGCTACAATTTCATAATGAGCCCAAAATATGTAATATATATCAGTGTTTCAAATACATTGATTTATTTGTGCCTACTGCAACAATATTAAAACTGACCTGACATAATGACATACATGCTTATTGCTCATAGAGGAGAAAGTGAAAGACATTGCACAGTGGTTTATCATAACTTGAAAAGGGAATTTTACAACTCTCAAAGGAACAATCCCTGTATACTCCATCTTGACAAGCAAACAGAAGATTCACCCTGTTCATGTTGATGAGTAACAGACCACAAACATAGGTATTTCATTGATTGGATGTAATGAACCACAAAAAGTTAACTGAAACTACAGGGGCATTAATATATTTAAGTCCAGCCTTCCAGGGGTTGCATCATTTTTAACCT